TTAGTAGAGACGGGGTTTCACCATGTTGACCAGGATGGTCTCGATCTCTTGACCTCGTGATCCACCCGCCTTGGCCTCCCAAAGTGCTGGGATTACAGGCGTGAGCCACTGCGCCCAGCCTAGATTTTGAATTTTTTAAAAAGAAGGTGGAATTCCAGTTTTGTGTAATCTCTTGATTTTTTAACTGTTGGCATGTAATCCACATTGGAAAAACACATCTTGTAGGTCAGCCAGTCGGTTGGTGCCACATCTGGCCCTGAGTCTGTGATCTTTACAGAGGATTCTCTAATTCTGTCAACATCCCCATTTTACAGATTAATTACCTGGGGCTGCAGTGTTTGAGTAACTTGTGTAGGTCAGAGGTTGGTAAGCTTTTTCTGTAAAGAAGCAGATGGTAAATGTTTTTGGCTTTGTGGACCATATGGTCTCCATCGCAGTTACTCAGCTGCTGTTGTAGTGTGAAGTCAGTGATAGACAACATGTGAATAAATGGGCGTGGTTGTCTGCCAGTAAATACTTAGCAAGGACAGGCAGCAGCCCAGGTTTGGTCTGGGAGCTGGAGTTTGCCAACCTTGCCTGGGTCATGGTCCACAGCCCAGATCGCATGTCACCGCGGCCCTCACTCCACCCTGCAGCACTCTCTTCCACTCTCATGGTCTTCTTTCTCTTCACTAGGGCATAAATGTCTTTGGGGGGATAGGAAACTTCGTATTTATTAATCATCAGCCACATTCCCAAGATCTAGAGAGTATGGTAAATGTTAATTTTCTTTCCAAAGTGGGAACATCATTGTGGCCACTCCCGGCCGCTTGGAAGACATGTTCCGAAGGAAGGCAGAAGGCTTGGATCTGGCCAGCTGTGTGCGATCCCTGGATGTCCTGGTGTTGGACGAGGCAGACAGACTTTTGGACATGGGATTCGAGGCAAGGTACTGGGCTGTAGACTTCACTGGCTGGAGCGGGCAGGTGACCCTAATACATAAGGAGAGCAAACTGGAATTTACCACTTTATGACTAGGGATTTTTATTTTTAATTTTAATTTTATTTTTTGTTTTTTAGAAATAGGGTCTTGCGCTGTCACCCAGGCTGGAGTGCAGTGACGTGATCATGTTCACTGCAGCATTGACCTCTTGGGCTCAGGTGATCCTCCTGCGTCCACCTCCTGAGTAGCTGGGATTACAGGCGCACACCGCCATGCCTGGATGTTCTTCGTATTTTTTTGCAGAGATGGGGTTTTGCCATGTTGCCCAGGCTGGTCTCAAACTCCTGGGCTCAAGAGATCCTCCCATCCCAGTCTCCCAAAGTGCTGGGATTAGAGGGATGAGCCATCATACCTGGTAGTTTTGTTGTTTTTTTAATTAATAGCTTTATGTTTATAATTTACATATCATTATAATTGTATGCTAAAATTTGAGAAATCTTGGAAAAATGAAAGTATAAAGAAGAAACAAAAAATCACGTATAATTTTACCTCCCAGTATACCTGACTATAAATATTTTGATGGCTTCACTTTCAGTCTTTTAGAGTACCTGTTTAGTATCGTGAAGCACTGTGTGTTGATTATGCTGGCAAGTGAGGGGTTAATTGCGAGCTCTCCTCTTTTTATCAGCATCAACACCATCCTAGAGTTGTTGCCAAAGCAGAGGAGAACAGGCCTTTTCTCTGCCACTCAGACGCAGGAAGTGGAGAACTTGGTGAGAGCGGGTCTCCGGAACCCTGTCCGGGTCTCGGTGAAGGAGAAGGGCGTGGCAGCCAGCAGTGCCCAGAAGACCCCCTCCCGCCTGGAAAACTACTACATGGTGAGAGCCTGGGTGTGCTTCTTACTCAGCGATAATGACCAGTGCTCATTTTACGAAAATTGTACTAGGAGAATAAATATATGAGACCCTGTAGCACATATGAAATGCTTCTGGGGACAGAGCTAGGACAAATGGTCTGGGTGGTCCTACTCATTGAATGAATAAGTTAAATTGGGCATAAATATATTGTAAGCACAGTTTCTAAGGACAGTATCTTTGAACCTCCAACCTCAAGTGACTAAATGTTTATTTCACATGCCTGGGGTGTGCTGGGTGCAGGTGTGATACAGCTCTAGTTCCTGGGCCTGTCAGAACAGCCTGACCCAGAGAAGGGCATAGTTAGATGTGCAGGCGGGACACGGAAAATCAAATGACAGACGCACTCCTCAGGAGACTTTGTGGGTGGAAATGTTCTACTCTAAATGTTGTATATTTTTTACTTGCATCAAATATGCTGAATTTCTAGTAGTGAAGACTAGCTGCTGGCTTCTGTAGTTTCTTCACAAGGAAGTAGATGGGCTTTTGGCAACTTGATTGTTTAGTAATGAGGCCACTCCCCAGCCCCGTTCTGTTCTGTCCCATTGCTGGAATGGGTCACGAGGCACAAGTGCAGAGAGCACAGGCTACCAGGGAGGCACGGAGGAACCCACAGGCCAGGTCACTGCTAACAGCACATCCGCCCACCAGCCTGGGGCTGGGGCTTTTCTTTCTCTTTTGCAGTCAGCTTTCTCAGGGTGAATATTTCTTTAGGCCTGAGGGGGTAGCTCCTCAGTTCCTGAACCTGTCTGTTGTTCAAAATGAAGGAGGCTGGTCTCGAAAGTAGAGTGTTCCTCTTGCTGTGGACTGAGGTTGTCGAGGCTGCTCTCCTGTTTGTGTCAGTTTGCAGGCAGATGAACGGTAGAATGAGTTTGCAAATGAGAAACTGCACTTGTTTCACTGGAGAGTGTTGTCGAAATCAGTTAGGCTCGTCAGAAGTGGGAGCTGTAGCTACCATTGATGTTTCTGACTGAGGCCAGGCTGGGTGAAGTAGGAGGCCAGCTCAGCGCATCAGGTAGGCATAGGGAAGTGTGGAGAGTATGGCGCTAGCGCAGAACTGCCTGCTGCAGGTCTTGGCTTTGTCCCCTTCTTAATTAACCAATGAACTTACAGGACCTCACTTGTCAAATGGAGGCCACAGTAGTATACAGCTTCGTAGGGTTGTTGGAGGATTAATTAATCCATGCAAAAATATCCATGATAATGCTTGGTACTTAGTAAGTATGGGTCGAGCATTGCTGACTTGAAATTCCAAAATCCAAAATGCTCCAAAATCTGAAGGTTTTTGAGTGCCAACATGATGCTCAAAGAAATGCTCATTAGAGCATTTAGGATTTCAGATTTCCAGATTAGGGATGCTCAGCTGGTAAGTATAGTGCAGTTATTCCAAAATCTGAAAACATTCAAAAGCCAAAACGCTTCGGGTCCCAACGGTCTTGGATGAGGGATAGTTAGTACTAATGTTAGCTTTGGAAACCCACTGTTTCTGCTGTTGCATTCTGTTATTGTGCATTTGTTTTGCATTTAGAGATGGCTGAGTATATGAGAAAAAAATTCCAAACTGGGGATTTGGTTTGGGCAAAAATAGGATGAATGCATTCAGGTAAATTTAATGTCTGTAATTTGGGAGTTTGAATGGAGACTTGATTGCACTATGAAGAAAAGCAATGGGGTCTGCGTCAATGGAGGCCTTTTAAATAATTATGTACATTGCTTTCTGGAAATCATTATTCAACTTAAAGCAATGACTTCTGAACTTGGCATCAGAATTTCCTGGGTAAACTTTTTCTTTTTAAACTCTTAAATAATAGGGATTCTTGCTGTTAAAAAAAACTACCTGAGACTGCATTAAAAAAAAAAAAAAGAAGGCCGGGCGCGGGGGCTCAAGCCTGTAATCCCAGCACTGTGGGAGGCCGAGGCGGGTGGATCACGAGGTCAAGAGATCGAGACCATCCTGGTCAACATGGTGAAACCCCATCTCTACTAAAAATACAAAAAATTAGCTGGGCATGGTGGCACGTGCCTGTAATCCCAGCGACTCAGGAGGGGGGCAGGAGAATTGCCTGAACCTGGGAGGCGGAGGTTGCGGTGAGCCGAGATCGCGCCATTGCACTCCAGCCTGGGTAACAAGAGCGAAACTCCGTCTCCAAAAAAAAAAAAAAGAAAAGAAAAAGAAAAAATAATATGGATTCTTAGGTCCAATCTCAGACCTACTGAATCAGAATCTGTATGTCATACCCAAGAATCTGCATTAAAAAAAAAAAGAATCTATCCTTTGGCCACGAAAGGTGGTTCATCCCTGTAATCCCAGTACTTTAGAGCTGACGTGGGAGGATTGCCTGGGGCCAGGCCAGGAGTTCAAGACTGTCCGGGCAACATATTGAGACTCTGTCTCTTAAAAAAAAAAAAAAGTAAAATAAGTAAATAAAAATCTACCCTGGAGCTGGTGTGACAGCTGACGCGTAGACTTGGGAGTTGGGAACTGCTGCCTGTTGGATGACTGTGTTTCTCTGAGCCGTGTGGTTTTGTGACATACAAATTAACTTTTACAGGCAGCAGCACATGTCGATGTTTATTCTGAGCTAGGTAGACCAATTAACATTCTGACTAAAGTCTGTCCTATCCATAGAGAAAATGGCATTCCTTAAAACTGAATGCTGAAACTGAAAATAGCCACGGGGATTATTATTGCCAAATACGTTTTTTATTAATTTCCCTGTTTATTTTACAGGTATGCAAGGCAGATGAGAAATTTAATCAGCTGGTTCATTTCCTTCGCAATCATAAGCAGGAGAAACACCTGGTCTTCTTCAGGTACTCCTCTGGTGTCTGTGGTAGGGGCATCAGGGATTCAGCCAGAATGTGACCTTTGGGTTTTGGATTCCATCTAGCATAGTTCTCTCAGGAATGCTTTTGGCTGCAAATAACTGAAAACCCAACTTTTCTGGTTTGTGGCTTTATTTTTCTCCTGTAAAAAGAAGTCCAAAGGCAGGCAGTTTCTCACGTGGGTTTCATATGTCAGTCATGTCAAGGTCAGTGTTGTGATTGGTCTCTTCTGCCTACGTGTCACGTCATGGATTCTGGATGACCACTATTACACCTTGTCATGTCTGCACTGAAGAAAGATAAGGCGGGGAAAGGCAGAGGGGGCATATGGTAGTGTTAGCTATACCCATGCCTTTTAATTAGAAAAGCAATGAGCTTCCTCAGAAAACCCTCTGCCTTAGCTGACTTCGGCTGTGAATCCATCATAGGGGCCAAAAGTGGGTCACATGGTGGCCCCTCATTTCAAGAGCGGCGGAGAAAATGAGTGCACAGCTTTTCTGCCTCTGTGGTAGTGGTCAGCGAAGCAAGAAGTGGTTGGGAACAGTGTTATCAGCCACCCTTGGAGTCTGCCACAGCGGGGCTTTGTCTTGTGGTCAGAAGGCAGCATAGGAACAGCTGCGGATGTTCTTTGGACTGGTTGGTTCTTTTCCCCTTTTCTCCAAATATAAATGTGTTGATCTTTGGCAGTACATAAAAAATAATTTTACATTTCTTTTCCATCTGTTATCCTGCAAATAAAATGCAGTATTGACCATGACCCACAGTAAGAAGTACAATTTGGTACATACCCAAACAAGATAATAAAACAAAGGTTTTCACGAAACTGCGCTCTGCCAGGTGGGATATTTTCTATTCTGTTCTATTCCAGCTATTGATTTTTTTAAAATGCTGGTCGAGACCTCCTAAATTGATTTTAGAACCCACCAGATTGTTTTCAGGATCTATGGGTTGTGAGGCTTAGTGTGTGAAACGCCACTTCATTATATACTATGTGACTCAAGGTAGAAAAGAGGGACCCCTCTGGTAGCGGTCACAGCATAGGTGGAGGAACTGACATAGACAAGAGTTAGCCCAAACTGGTGGCAGTCTGGCATAGTGGGGGGAGCATTAGACCTGGGTTCTGGTTCTGCCACTTATTCTGTGTCTCTGGTAAGTTTCAGTTCCCTCACCTGCAAAAGGATGAGAAATCAGTTTGGAATGCTACCAGTTAAAGAAAACGGTCCAGGGTGAACTTTATTAGAAGGATGCTGGGTAAGGAGCTCACAGATTCAGAGAGAATGTTGAGTGTCCAGCTCCCAGGGAAGGAGGATCCCAGGCAAGAGTCATGGACCATCTCTTTAGGGCACACCCTCATTGGGATGACTCTGCCAACCCCCTTTTGTCCTTGTATGACTTAGCTCCAAGTCCCAAATATCTGAGAGAAGGGATCTGATTGGTCTAGCTTGAGTTATTTGCTGAGCCCTTGGGAATCCTGCTAACTGGGAAGGCAGCTCTTCCCTAAAGGAAAAGCGGGAATATTTTTAAATCTTGTAAGACCATTTGTGGCTAAGATGCTGTTGCTTTAGTTCTGAATAACTGTTTCACCTTAATTCCTTTCTCAGGGTCAGGGAGATTCCCCGTTAGAACATCTTTAGATAGTAGAATACATCCTTGGGGGTTTTAACTCGTGTTTAAGGGATTTTGTCAAAAGATTGGCCTTTGATTGGCTGAGAGGATTACAGATTGAGAACTTAGTTGTGGATGATTCTCACTGCCTTTCTGTTCTTCGTTCTCCTAGGGAGGGCTCAGGATGATTCTCACTGTCTTGCTCCTCTTCATTCCCCTAGGGAAGGCTCAGAGTTAGGTTGCATCTACTGCAGCTGTTGCTCGCTGTTCCCCTCTCCCAGTTGTAGAAGGACGAAGGTGGTCAATGCCTTTAAGCCCTCTGTCCCTCTTGCAGCACCTGTGCCTGTGTGGAGTACTATGGGAAGGCTCTGGAGGCGCTGGTGAAGGGCGTGAAGATTATGTGCATTCATGGAAAGATGAAATATAAACGCAATAAGATCTTCATGGAGTTCCGTAAATTGCAAAGGTGGGTGGGCTTCACTGGACAGAGCAGCTCTCCTGTCACACGGTGCTCTTTCAGGTCCCCAAACGCCCCATTGTCCCATAGCTTGTGCTGCCCGCGTGTGTTGTTTTTCCTGTCTGGAACCCTCTTCCCTCTCTAATGTGGTTATCATCTCTCTGTAAACACCCAGGACTTCCATGGCTCTGTTCTAATCTCTTTTTCTTTTGCTGTGTCACTTCTCTGGTTACTGAACTCCCGTGCTAGATGGCGAGCTCCGTGACACAGGATCCCTGTGTATTGTCTTCACTCCCAGACTGTCCTGTGCCTGGCCCAGGGAAGGGTCAAGCAGCAAGGAGCAATCCATTTGTCCTGTCGGGATGGAAACTGTCTTAGGCTTGTGACTACACAGCAGAGAACTTGTAGTCTTCCAGTGACCAGAACTTGTTTCTGTTTGTGCTTACAAATCATACTTTTCTGTTTTTCTTAATCATTGAACATCTGGCTACATTAAAAGTCCTCTTTTAGGCAAACTGATACACTTGACTGCTGGGCCTCAGTCATGGAGTGAAGTGTCTGTTGTTTTCCAGATGGCTACAAAGGATTAGACCCATATAGTTTTGGTTATGTTCTAATTTTTAAAATCCCTTTGCTGTCTCTTACCTCATTCCAATTTATATTGGAATTTGTGAAGTCCCAGAGATTTGTAGGAAGAAGAAAAAATCAAAATGTTACCTTAAGTATTTGCTTCTCCCAGCACTTTGGGAGGCCAAGGCAGGCGGATCACGAGGTCAAGAGATAGAGACCATCCTGGTCAACATGGTGAAACCCCAGCTCTACTAAAAATACAAAAATTAGCTGGGCGTGGTGGTGCGCGCCTGTAGTCCCAGCTACTCGGGAGGCTGAGGCAAGATTATTGCTTGAACCCAGGAGGCGGAGGTTGCAGTGAGCCAAGATCACGCCACTGCACTCCAGCCTGGCGCCTGAGCGAGACTGTGTCTCAAAAAAAAAAAGTATTCGCTTCTGTGAGAAGCTCCGGAACCTGCGTGTCACTGTCATCGCGATCAGTGGGCTGTTTGATGGTGATGAAGATGGTGACCTCCTTACTCAGAATGCCGTTTTCTCATTTTTCTAGTGGGATTTTAGTGTGCACTGATGTGATGGCCCGGGGAATCGATATTCCTGAAGTCAACTGGGTTTTGCAGTATGACCCTCCCAGCAGTGCAAGGTATGGTATGAGGCTGCCACCCGCTCCCTGTTGAGGAATTTATCCTAATTAAGTAGGAATCCTGAAGAAGATAAACAGATAATGACGCTCATTGAAACATTATTTTATAGCAGGCCTCCAGCGTGCTTGGGTCTGCAGTGACCCTTTGCATTCCTATAGTGCTTGCCAGAACAGTTTTGAAATGGTTTGAGGCCTTGCCCTGTTCCACGTAGAGCAAGGTCATAGAAATTTCAGACAGTGAGAGAAAACAACACATTATTTGAGGCCGGGCATGGTGACTCATGCCTGTAATTCCAGCGCTTTGGGAGGCCTAGGCTGGTGAATCGCTTGAGCCAAGGAGTTCACCAGCCTGGGCAACATGGCAATACCCCATCTCTACAAAAAATATGTAAAGATTAACCAGGCGTGTGCGCCTGTAGTCCCAGCTACTGAAGTGGGACAATCACTTGAGTGTGGGAGGCAGAGGTTGCAATGGATTGTACCACTGCACTCCAGCCTGGGCGACAGTGTGAGATGCTGTCTCAAAACAAAAATGCATTAAGTAGCAAAAATAGGCAAATGGATGAAAATAACCCATTTATGGTGAAATAGTGGTATTGTGTATTGGCAGCAATTAAAAATATTTTCAAATATTACCAGTTCTTGAAGAAACTAGAATGTCTAGAAAATAGAATGTCTAAATGAAAAACAGCAATAACGTAACACCACATGTGAAAATTACTTTTTCCAAAGTCAGCATATGTTCCTAATATGTGCTTCCAAGCATAGGAAAATGCCTATAAACCCCCAAGTGTTAATGATTACCTCTGAGACTATTAGTCATTTTTATTTTATTCTTTATATTTTTCATTGTTTCCCAGATTTCCCCCTGGGGACCATGTCCTACCTGTGTGATCAGAGAGAAAAATCTAAGTTTTCTTAGAGTTCACCTTAAATGTTTCTTACAGAATCATATCTGTCTGCAATGCTGGTTTAATTGCCAATTCTTCTGTTTCTCACACTAGTAGGTGGCCAAGTCCACCCTGAGCTGTGGAGTCTAGAGGCTCCGCATAGCATTTTAGCAGCATCAGCCCCGTGGCTGGAGCCAGAGCTCTGCTCAGCCGTCACCACCTGGGCACCCATTTCCACCCTGTGTTCTCACAGCGCCTTCGTGCATCGCTGCGGACGCACAGCCCGCATCGGCCACAGGGGCAGCGCTCTGGTGTTCCTCCTGCCTATGGAAGAGTCATACATCAATTTCCTTGCAATTAACCAAAAAGTAAGCTGTCGTCCCTTTTCAGATAGAATACCTAGTAACGGGGTAGCTAGAAAAGTTCTCTGGCACGTGGTCAGCAATTGAAATTACAAATTGTGAATTCACTGGGGCTGGGCTGGTGGTGGCAGTGTGGGGCCCTGGTGGGGTTTAAGCCTGTGGAGGCACCTCGGTCATGGAGTGACCAAGCCTTCTGTGCGGTAGCAGGCTCTGCTGGGCCCAGGCAAGGCTTACCTCTTGTGAACGGAGACCCAGTGTTGCCATACTTTGCTACCAGATTAGGATTGTCATGCGAAATTGGATATTTTCTTTTTTTTTGAGACAGAGTCTCGCTCTGTTGCCGGGCGCCAGGCTGGAGTACAGTGGCGTGATCTGGGCTCACTGCAAACTCCGTCTTCCGAGTAGCTGGGACTACAGGCACGCGCCACCACACCTAGCTAATTTTTTGTATTTTTAGTAGAAATGGGTTTTACCACGTTGGCCAGGATGGTCTCTGTCTCTTGAGCCCATGATCCGCCTGCCTTGGCCTCCCAAAGTGCTGGGATTACAGGTGTGAGCCACTGTGCCAGGCCTAAATTTTCTTTAAAAAATTTAACATACTTTTCAGAGCAAGTGAAATATTTGGATTGGATTTGGGATTCAGACCTCTAATTTAAGATTAAAAGGAATTGTTTTGCTTTTGGTTTTATTTGTGATGGGGGATCCCTGGGGATGAGGTGATGCCAGCCAGGGAAGGTGAGAATGTGGTGTGTGTGTAGTGCCCCCTGCAGGAGATGAAGCTCCAGAAAAGCACAGTGGACCTTCTGCCAAAACTGAAGTCCATGGCCCTGGCCGACAGAGCTGTGTTTGAAAAGGGCATGAAAGCTTTTGTGTCGTATGTTCAGGCTTATGCAAAGCATGAATGCAACCTGATTTTCAGATTAAAGGGTAAGTTGGACTTTTTCTATGTCTTCATCTTAATTGTGGTGGTCTTACGAGATTGCTTTGTCTTGTAAAAGGAAGTGTTCCCAGGTTTTGAGTAGACACAGAATAAACTGGCTACTGAGTATTCCTTTTAACTTTGTAAAAATGTAATTATTTTCATTTAAAAAATGAATGCATTAAACCTTTTGGTTAGAAAAAAATTCTAAGCCCTTATTGATTGTTCTAATCCTGTTGAGTGTGCTAACTCTGATCTTCTGATTGAATTAGATCTTGATTTTGCCAGCCTTGCTCGAGGTTTTGCCCTGTTGAGGATGCCCAAGATGCCAGAAGTGAGAGGAAAGCAATTTCCAGATTTTGTGCCTGTGGACATTAATACAGACACGATTCCATTTAAAGATAAAATTAGAGAAAAGCAGAGGCAGAAACTCCTGCAGCAACAAAGAAAAGAGAAAACAGAAAATGATAAGAGGAGAAAATTCATAAAAAATAAAGCTTGGTCGAAGCAGAAGTCCAAAAAAGAAAAGAAGAAAAAAATGAATGAGAAAAGGAAAAGGGAAGAGGTAAAGTTTACACTTTTACTTACATGTCAACTTAGAATCTTGAACAAGTATTACTGTGGTAGATCTTTAAATAGGAATTGTGTGGGGCTCTCAGATTTTTGTTACATTGGCGACTAGGATTGGGAATTTGCTCTATTTGCAGAAGCCAATCTGAGAGCTTATAGTTCCCGAGTTAAAACTGCTGGTTTCACTGGAACACTATTGCTGAAAAATTTAGTAGTTTATTGGTTTCTTCTGCACTTAGGGTTCTGATATTGAAGATGAGGACATGGACGAACTTCTCAATGACACAAGACTCTTGAAAAAACTTAAAAAAGGCAAAATAACTGAAGAAGAATTTGAGAAGAGCTTGTTGACAACTGGCAAAAGAACAATCAAGACAGCAGATTTAGGGATCTCAGATTTGGAAGACGACAGCTGATTCTGGTTCCAGTGCCACAGATGAACCCACAAGGGCATAGCTATTCCCTAACTTGGTGGATGGCTCCAGTTTGCTTTCAGTGGAAATCAAAACTTCAGAGACATCTGAGAAGGATCACATCTCTGAAAGGTGTCCTTTCAGACTAGAGGAAAATGAGGGATTTCACAATTGTGAATATTTTACTAAAAACAGTCCAGTCTTGGCCAAAGGTGGTGGCTCTTGCCTGTAATCCCAGCACTTTGGCAGGCAGATCACTTGAGCCCAGGAGTTCAAGATCAGCCTGGGCAACACAGTGAGACCCTCTCATTAAAAACAACAAAACAAAACAATTCCAGTCTTGAAGTATTCTAACAAAAGAAAATGTAAAATTATTTGAGTGCAAATAATAGAAGTCAATATTTATCATGATGGGTCACATAGACAATTAAGTCATATTCCAGGAAGGAGATTTAGTTTTTGCGCCTTCTGTTGAATAAATGGCATCCTTTCGATTGCCTGTCTTGAGTGTGTAAATGTAGCTGCACAATGTTTTCCCCCAGATGGCCTGAGGTCAGCTTGCAGTATTGACGCAACACCAAATCAAAGTCTTTCGTAGAGTTTATTTGAAAAGATACTGAGTTTGTTTCCAAGTACAATTTTAAAAAGCTGTTTAGGACCCAAACATGTAAACATCTCTTCCACACACAGAATTTCAGTTTACAAATATTCCAGAAAGTATTTTTGTAAGTGAGCCATGTGAAGTACCATGGCTAAATGCGGCTTCGGACTTCCTCGTGTTCTCTTGGTACAGTTTTTGCTGCTTGGCTTGACCCTGTTGAGGAATGTGCTCACCACTGGAAGCCAGACGCAGATTCGGCAGGTGTTTCTTGCCTCTTACAAGGCACCACATGTAACATGTCCTGACTAGCCGTTGGTCATTTGTTGCAGAGGGGTGTGGCTGTCTTTTGGCCTGCATCTCGAGTGCTTTTGGTAAATCAGTCGAGTGCAGGGGTGGTTGAAGAGAGGTGGACTTGGGTTCATCTTTCATTAGTTTAGTAGCCAATAATCTAACTTGTATTTCTGGAAACCGAAAATGAAAGTTTCTAGAAAGCGTAAGAACAATTTAGGTTGGGTTTTGGAATAACTGACACATTCTTAGATGGAAATGCAATGAGTAAGAAAGGTTCTCCAAGATGGATGATTGATTCGAAGTCCTTAGTCCATAAATCTTCATTAAAACACATCTCAGTTTTGGCCTTGCTCACTTGGGGTGTCAAGCAGCTACTCACCCTGCCCAACTACATAAGCTACACCTTGGCAGCAAAGGGCCCCCAGGTTACAGATAGAGCTTGATGAGCTCATCGCTGACTGCTGAGGGTGTCAGCACACCCAGGTCGGTAAACAGTAGGGTGATTAATGAAGGGGCAGTGTAGTCGACCCACGGGTGCTCCTCTTTAAGGTCTTGTCCAGTCTGTGCGACCTTGAGAGTATCTGCCTTATACTGAGGAGATAAGAAGTACACGTTAGTCGGCGCTGAATATTCAGGGCTCTGAACTCATGGGGCCCTGGCATGAGTGAACAGTGTGCCACCTCCTGGCACTGCTCTCTGAAGAGAGAGGAGGGCAGAGTTGTGCCCATAAGCCAAATCATGATGACGTGCTCCTCGAGAGCTATGGTGTAACAAACTTAAATCACGTGTCCCCTCATTCTCACGCTGGATTAGCTTCTCTAGACCTCTCAGGTAAGATGGAGAGTCACTATAGAGTGCTTGCGGCGTGCCAGGCACTGTGGTAAGATTCTCTTACAATCCTCATAACCCTGTCAGATATTACGATGCCATTTCACAGAAAAGGAAACAGGTTCAGAGGTCACAATGAAAGGACTTGCCCCTTTCTTCCTTGGATACCCTAAAAAATAATAATACATTTAAAAAAAAAAAGAAAGGACTTGCCCAAGCCACGCAGTTTATAAGTTGCAGCAGCAAGAGCTGAGCTCAGTTGATCCCAAAGATGGGACTTACCCACCAGCTTCCTGGCTTCCTCTCTACCCATCTATGATGCTACTTAAGAGACTGAAAGACCGAAATTCTAGGGACAAATGTGTGAGCCCAACCACCAATTTATCTTTGTATTCCAAGTGTCGGGGAAAATAGCAGTAGAAGTGAAAAAATTACTGGAGATTCTTAGGACTGCAATTTTCCAAAGGTTCCCATTTAGACTTCAGTACCTCTTCAAATATGGAAAACTCTTGCCTTAAACTTATCTGGGACGTCTTGCTGGTTTAGTGGAAAGAGCCGGACAAACTTGAAACTTTCTGCAACCACGTAGAAAGGTTTGTTCTGTGCTTTGGCACACACGGCCATCTGGTTGGTTCCAATCTGGGAAGGCAGAAAGTGGAACGGATGAGTTCTAGAGTGCTTTTGAAATAGAAGCCACAGAAAAGCGGGCCAAGGAGAGCGGCGCACGCCTCTCCCAGCATTTTGGGACGTTGAGGTGGGACGATCATTTGAGCCCAAGAGTTCGGGACCAGCCTGGCCAACACGGTGAGACCTCATCTCTATTACAATAAATGAACAATTTAAAAACAGCAATAGAAAGTTATGTACATACACAACATATGTAATTCTGACTTTGGAATCAAAGAGGACCTTAAAAAAAATAAATGTTTCTTCAAGGATATTAAAATAGCCACTAGGCACATGACAAAATCCTCAACACCATTAGCTCCTTCGGGCAACGTAACAGTGAGAGATCACTTCCCACCTTCTAGAATAACTATAATTTAAAAAATAGGCTGGGTGCAGTGGCTCACACCTGTAATTCCAGAACTTTGGGAGGGCCAAGGTGGGTAGATCAGCTGAGGTCAGGAGTTCGAGACCAGCCTGGCCAACACTGTAAAACCCCATCTCTACTACGAATCCAAAAATTAGCTGAGCATAGGGGCACATGCCTGTAATCCCAGCTACTCAGGAGGCTGAGGCAGGAGAACTGCTTAAACCCGTGAGGTGGAGGTTGCAGCGAGCCACGATTGTGCCACTGCACTCCAGCCTAGGCAACAACAGTGAAACTCCATCTCAAAAAATTAAAAAAAAAGAACAAGTGTGGACAAGGATGTAGAGAAACTGGAACATTTGTGCTTTGCTGGTGGGAATGTAAAGTAGTACAGCTGCTCTGGAAAATCATTAGTTTCTCAAAAAGTTAAATACGCAGTTACCATCTGACTCAAGACGCTGCCTGCAAACCTCTGCCTCCCAGGTTCAAGTGATTCTCTCCTGCCTCAGCCTCCCAAGTAGTTGGGATTACAGGTGCTCACCATCAAGCCCGGTAATTTTTTGGTTTTTTTTGAGACAGAGTCTCACACTCTGTTGCCAGGATGGAGTGCAGTGGCGTGATCTCCACTCACTGCAACCTTTGCCTCCTGGGTTCAAGCGATTCTCCTGTCTTAGCCTCCAGACTAGATGGATCTACAAGTTCGTGCCACCATGCCCAGCTAATTTTTTTTGTATTTTTAGTAGAGACGGGATTTCACCATCTTGGCCAGGATGGTCTCAATCTCTTGACCTTGTAATCCGCCTGCCTCGGCCTCCCAAAGTGCTGGCATTACAGGCGTAAGCCACTGTGCCCGGCATTTTTTTTTTGTATTTTTAGTAGAGACAGGGTTTCACCTTGTTGGCCAGGCTGGTCTCCAACTTCTGACCTCAGGTGATCCACCTGCCTCAGCCTCCCAAAGTGCTGGGATTACTGGCGTGAGCCACTGTGCCTTGTTATATATATTTTAACTAAAAAAAGCTTTCATGAAACCTGTCTAAATTAAACAATGGATAAAGAAATTGTAATCAAAAATTGAGGTCAAGTGTGCTCAATTACAATGAAAACAAATGACAGGCTAGCCATTTGTAATTACAGGCTCACGCCTGTAATCCTAGCACTTTGGGAAGTGCAACGATTGCTTCAGGCTAGGAGTTCAAGATTGCAGTCAGCTATCACCACTGTTCTACATTACACTGCACTCTAGCCTGGGCAACAGAGTGAACTTGTCTCTATTTATAAATATATATATTGGCCGGGCATGGTGGCTTATGCCTGTAATCCCAGCACTTTGGGAGGCTGAGGTGGGCAGATCATGAGGTTAGGAGTTCAAGACTAGCCTGACCAACATAATGAAATCCCATCCCTACTAAAAATACAAAACATTAGCTGGGCGTGGTGGCAGACGCCTGTAATCCCAGCTGCTTGGGAGCTGAGGCAGGACAATCACTTGAACCCTGGAGGTGAAGGTTGCAGTGAGCAGAGGTCGTGCCAGTGCACTTCAGGCTGGGCGACGGTGCAAGGCTGTCTGAAAAAATATATAATAAATATATAAGGCCGGGCGCGGTGGCTCAAGCCTGTGATCCCAGCACTTTGGGAGGCCAAGGCGGGTGGATCACGAGGTCAAGAGATCGAGACCATCCTGGTCAACATGGTGAAACCCCGTCTCTACTAAAAATACAAAAAATT